CATATAGTATTTTTGATCATATGATTTTAATAGTAAAAAATACTATGTATTTTCAAATTCCACTCCGTCGCCACAAGTGCCATACACAAAGTAACATACTCGTAATAAAAAAGTTAAACTGACTCAATAAAAAATACGCAATCGACCTAAATGGAAGGAGGGACTAGTATAAAATAAAAACAAAAGTGCTACGTCAATGAAATCAGAAAAGAGATTTCTAAATTAAATTTCAGGCAGATAAGCAAAAAAATATACATACATAAATGTACATACATATGTATAAAAAACAAGGCATGTATGCACATACATACGTATGTATGGGTATAACAAAATGAGTATAATAAATTTTGCCGGTGAAGCGCAGCAAAAGTGGCAAGAAAATCAAGAAAGAACGCCAATATATGCGTGGGCGGCAAAGTGCGGCAAACAAAATTCAATATATTCATACACACATACATATGTATATATACATATACACACAGGCATATTAATATGTAATATAGTATGTTTAAACATATAATTCGCTGCTTAGCACAGTGGGGGAGTGACAACAGAAACAATAGCAAAACGACAGCAACAGCGATAACCAAATGACAACATTGAGGAGGGTTGCTGCGCAGGTTGCTGCAAGAAAAGACACTGTTAACGTTCTTTTAAATTAGATAAACACACGCATACACACCTGCATCTGCACAGAAATACACATATATAGTGACAGTCTGGCAAAGCACTAGTTCCGATCTACAAGGTGGCGGTATTTTTGACTTTTCAAATTTAATAAGTTTTTTGGTGCCTGCTGCTTAGTTAAGTTTAAATTACTAAAAAAATCCAAAAATACAATCTTGAACGTTTTTTTCAGATAAAAAACTGATAGCCTGAGATCTGTATACAATGTAACCAGTTGAGAATGAGTTAAAAAGCTCTGCAGAGGTGGGCAATCGCCACTTCGTAGGACATCGCCATGTTAAAAAAGACAGCTGTAAGCATTGATTTGGTTTAGATGAAGAACCAGTACCGTATCATTGCAGGCTACATAGCACGGCGCGAGTTCTGAACCAGTTTGGTTTCCTGCTGGGGTGTGACTCTATGCCACCTCTGCGTTGTTTTTCTGTTCGCATGTGTCTTCGTACATTTATAGTACGCGAGTACACGTAACAATGATTTTCTCCACCAGCAGCGCCACGAGCTCTTGCCGCCATGCAAATCGGCTAATTCACTGAGACACTTGAAGGGACAACTAACAGCATCCATCATTTATAATTACGTTGCTGATGACAGCTACTGATGACGTACTAATATGTAAGAGCGTGATGGGGTGGAAGAGCGGATGAGTATGAGCGCACAGGCTGAGGACAGAGATATTAAGTGAGAGTAAATAAAAAGCAGAAACAAAGCAGAAAACAAAATAAAAGAGCACGAGAAAGTGTTGAAATTTTTGATGTACCCAGAACACTGAAAAAAAATAGAAAAAATTTAAACAACTTGAAAAAGTAGAAATAGCACTAAATAAATGACGCTTTCAAATTGGCTAATGAATAAATTAATACATTATGGACTCTGGACAACGGAGCCGGTCCATATGCATATAATGAGCATGAGTCGGCAAAACAGAAGTGGCTGTGAAATGCCCTAGGCCAGACCATTTAAATCAGCTGGTGGGCGGTGCATAAGGAGACAACTTTGCTGCTTTCTCTAGAAGAAAATTTCCATATAAAGCATGCTCGACGATTTCAGACTTCGAGAGAACATTGGACCAAGCAGCAAAGTTGTCTGCTTTTGCTCCGCCCACCAGCCGATTTAAATTAACTCGTTTCATCTATTTTAAGTCATTAAGGCGAACGCCACACCAAGGGAAATTACCTAGTCCATAGCAACTACACAGGTTGTATCCAGTGCCGCTAAAACTTCTTCAGAGAAAAGGCTAAATGGGCAAAAAAATAAAGCTTAAAAAAAGCTAAGTCAAAATTTTAGTGGTGACTAAGAAAAATAGCCTAATTAAGAAATCAAATATTTTTTTTGTTATTATAATTTCATAACTTATTTTGTATTCGTAGCCGCTCAAAATATATTTGCAGCTTAAGACAAATTTTTGATTCCCTCTCATTGTTCTGTTGTTGTTGTTGTCTTTATAGCCGCTCTCAATCCGGTCCAGATCGGCTTGTCTCTCAATCCTCGTCGTCAAGATCAACTAAATGTCTCGAGTCGAAGCTCTGTCTCGTTCACGTCAGGTACTTGTGTTCCGAAAACGGCATTCCCATGTCAAGAGTCAGTGTAGGACGAAACTGATTCCCTGTGAATGACGTTTATGACCTGTCGGTATGCTGACGGGTCCAGAGGTGGCTTTATGAACCATTAGATATCGTCCGTTAGTGCATATGGATGCCGTCTGACGTGCCTTGGAGAGGACACCCTACTAAAAGTTGCTTGCAAAGCACTTGTTATCCTCCCTAGCAGGGAGCATTTGAGCCTCGTCGTTCAGGTGATGTTTTGGCGAGTGGCGATTCGGTGTGATATTTAGCCCCAATGTGTGAAAACCAATACTTTAGTATCCTCCCAATAAACTTGCCAAAGAAAAAGTACTCCCACTATTTACCCAGTGAGTACAACTCAGGGGTACATTTTAACGCTATTTAAATTTGCGTTTGATATTTTGAGCAAAAGTAAAAAGTTAAATAAAACTAAATAACTTTAAGAAAAAGCTTAGAAAAAGCTAAACAGGATTTTTCTGGCTTGACCCAAATAAAAAAAGGTAAGTCTTGCCGGAAGGTAATTAAAATGGCAACATTAGTTGGCTCTAGAACACATCTAGTAATTGAAAGCAAATACCTTGCAGAACCTTTTGGGATTGATAGAAGACAACATGCGCATTCTCTGGAAGTTACTCCAAACATTGTGAAATATTCACCAAATTTATTGTGGTGGCGATGTTGGCCGGAGGAAGTGATATGCTGATTTTTGTACTTTTAGGTGTCGGAATTCTAATAAAAGCCCGAATAATGGCAGCCCAATCGCAAGAAACCCCGTAACCCTGGCAACTACATCGACTCACTAGCATGCCGGGAATATCTAAGTTTAAATTCTGTGCAGTCATATCAGTGGGTGTCGAAAAGTCATTTCCGTGCTTTCAACGCACTTAAAAGACCAGCGCAGATGTTTGATCAGGCGGCACTTGATTGTCCATTAAAATGTCTCAATCCTCATTAAGCTAAAAAACATTAAACTGTATTTAATTTTTTTATTGTTTTTCGAACATTTTTACCAAACTTTTAGTGATTATCTAAGCGCTTAAAATTTACCTTCTTCTTCCATGTATTTTTCGGTCCTTAAACTTATAAGAAATGCATTACATTATTTATCAGGCATTTAATGCGTTATCACTTTTACCACTGGGTAAGAGTATAAAAGGCACCTACTACGCAAAAGTTCTACCCTTAATTTTCTTCTCCCCAAAGGCCAAACATTAAGGCCATTTAGGTATTTTGGTAATGACATATGTATGTACAGTTATTTGCCGCTGGCAATACAAGCTCACATTCAGACAGCACATAAATAGCACACGCACACATGTCAATGAACAAAAGCGCAGTACTCAAGAGGCATACAACTAGGCGTGAGCGCAGAGTTATGGCGCCCCATTTTAGCGTAATGCACAAATAACAGCGAATTGGCTTTTGGCGTCTTGAATTCACCAGGCGGTCAGTAACCGGCAAGGGAAATGTCGTTTGCAAACAAATAGTTAGAAGGCAAGAAAGTAGATAAGTCAGCAGTCAGCAAACATTCATACACACACACACACACACACACACGGATGGACAGAAAGTCAACTGCAGAAATTGAAAGCATAGCATTAGGCGGCTTAACGTCAATAATGACAATGTTGACAATTTTAATTGAGAACGCAAAACGGTGTTGGCAAGGCTGCTGGCACGAAGCCAGCTGTTATGTGCTTGTTGTTTGTATTCCTGCGAGTATGCGCAAAACAAGCACTGACTGATGGAGTTTAGCACCATGTGTGTGTGTGTGTGTGTGTGTTTGCATGTTTGAACTTGCTCATTTCCCTTTGGTCATTTGGTATTGCATACTTTGTGGCTGTTTTGAGTGACATTGCAGCTACTGGCTGGCGGTTTGGTTGACTGCCTGGCTGCCGGCCTGTCTGTCTGTCTTCCGGCGTAACATCTCTCTGACAACCTGCACTTAACTACATATGTAAATACCTATGCTTATAAATACATATGTATGTATGTAAAAATATGTCAATGCGGCACTTTGCCATCGTCACTTATTGACAACGCGGCGCCAATGGCTTTTACATTTTACATTTGTCACAACGTCTTGTACTCACTTAATTTGTGGCAAGCAGCGAGGTGAGCGCGCGGTCCTCTACGCTTGACTCACTCAACACGATTGACACATTATAATTTGCCACAATTACTTGGCATAATGATAAATGATGTGACAAGCAGCTGTCATTAGGTTAGTTCGCTTATTACAAGAGCTCAGTAGTTTATTTTAATGTATTCTGCACTTTTTGTGTAAAATATTTCTCGCAGTCTCTGAGTTTTTATGCTTCCTTTGGATTTATGTTTTTTTTTTTTAAAGTTTGCCATAAAGCAGTGAGCACATTTTCTGATCATTTTTCCTACCAAACTCTATTTGTTAGTTGTGAAAATATGGCTACACCATGTGCATATATCTGTGGCATTTTTACTAAAAAACTTAAGTGATTTTAAAAGGTTTGACTTCGAATTAAAAATAATAAGCTTCCCTTGAAAGTTTGTATAAGCAAGCTTCTATTAAAAGAGAATCTTAAGTTACACTCTTAGCTAGTAAGTCGTTAAAATTTTGTTTGGGTAACCAATGAAATATTGCTTTAAGGAGAAAATGGCCTATCTTGAGATAAGTTGTTTAAATTAAATGCCACACATAAATATACAAACATATATATTTACTTGACTCTTTGGACTAATATGACATTTATGTCGTTTTATTTTTTATTTCAGGCACAATGACGGCCACATTACATAAATGGGATAAGTTGTCACCGCGAGAATTCCAACATTTGCAGGAATTGGCATCATGTGAGTACCTTCTATCAAGTTTTTCATAAATGAAGCTATAATTAGATGTTCACTAGCAGAATTTGTATAGCAGCTAGATACCTATATATCGTTACCTTAATTCACAAAAGAACGAATCAACAGCTTTTTCGAAACTGCGTCTTTCACAGATTTTGATAGGATATATTAAAGCACACTTTCAATTAAAATTTTTAAGTTCTAGTACCAAAAAAACGGAGTTGTATTCCACTTTTCAAAAAGCCCTACACGTTTTTGATATTCTTTTTATGATGTATTTTGCTTCTCCTGTGAAATAAAAAATTTGTTGGTTACGACCTTTGTGAAATAGGGTAACGATATTGTAGTATTTATTTACGTTGGAAACTTTTTTATATTTCAATACTGATTCAATTATCTACATGAGCACTGCAAAATTTTATATAAATTCATGTAAATTCTTACTACAAAAATTCACGTTTTTCACGTGTTTCGCTGGTCTGTTTCTAATAAACCATTAACTAGGGAGTAATAGTCTAAGGCTCCGATTCATAATCACAACGTTCCATGTTTTCGCTGCCAAAAGTTGCATATTGCCAAAGCAACCCTTGACCAGTGTTGCCACAACATTTTTTTTAAATTTTTTTTTCCGAAATCAACAGAAAAAGTTACCAAATTCAATAAAAAATTACCAGACTTATTTTATGTGCACAACTGTACATACATATGTCTGTAAATATATCTGAAGGCACCAAGCTTTTCAGGCAATCAGCGCTCCATTCAGCTATAATTTTTATAAGTGTGTAACGCTGAAAGTTACAATAGCAGAAACGCGTGGTGAGGATTTCACTCCTGAGTGTGGCCGAAGAAACAAATTTATCGATTGCGCGTCGCTTTCAGAACATGGTATTGTCTTTTTTTGGCTTAGAATAGTATATTTTGCATTTGGATATACATTTCCTGCCATACAAAACTCAGGTCACAAAAGAATTATCATTCAGTGTCAGGGATACCGTTAATTGCAACAGAGGATTATCAGGCGCATAATTTCCCGTAGAGGTGTTATCATTTGGCCACTGAGATCATCCCACCATTGGACTATTTATTCGGCTACTCGGATGGCCGTATTTATGCGAAGAAACCCCCAAATTTGGAGTACTTCAAAATCAACATTTGTCCAGTTATGACCGATATACATATGTATATCAACAAGTGGCCGAAAATATCTCAAAAGTGAAGTCCCTATAGGGTATACTGAATGCCGTAGCTTTTTGAACGAGAACATACATATTTACATAGAACTCTACTGATATGGTTGCAGCAGTTTGGTTCAAGCAGTTTGTTAGAGATCACACCATTCTAGAACCAAGGAACGCTGGAACAACTTTTCGTCTTACGAAACTTTCAGGGTTACCTGGTATTTCTATAAAAGTAATTGCTTACGGGCGACTTCCTAATGGGGAATCAGATCCTGTATTGACCTATGTGACATGTAGGACAGAATCGAAAAGGTTACCAAATTGAACAAGTAAGAAAGTCTAAGTTCGGGCGGAGCCGAACATTAAATACCCGGCGCAAGTGTTAAATATATGTTTTTTCACCCTTCCGAAACCTTCCGCTAGATGGTAAGCCGAGGTGTATCAATTTTGAGTAAATTAGCGTCCTTCAATTTCGAAATATTGAAGTTTCAAGCATTTCTTAAATTTACCGTTATATGAGAATCGGCCGTTATTTTAGTCCGATTTCAATAATTTTCAACGNGCGCTCGGGTATAAAAATAAATTACCAAATTACCAATTTTAATAGATAAAGAAAAAAATTACCAATTTTGGTTAAAAATTAGCAAAGCCGCAACGCTGCTCCGCATTTTACGAAATTGGCAACCGGTAATAAAAACTCGGATTTTTCTAAATTGGTAGCTGGTGCAAAAAAAACTGATTTCATTTTTAAAAGTGGAATGATAAAAATAAGTGGCCTTGACCAGTGCGCTTTTCTCAAAATTGGTAACCGGTACTAAAAACCCGAGTTTTCAGAATAGGTAACCGGTACAAAAAAAAATCGTTTTTTTTTAATATTCTTGAAGTGCCCCTGCAAGGGTAAAGTTTCAATTCAGTACGACCACTTTTTTTTCTAAATTTGTCCATTTGTGCGCTGGTTATAGTAGAAGCGATACGGTAATTTTAAGCAGTTTTTTTTTTTTTAATTAAAAATATTGACAGTGGAATTGAGCGATATAACATTTCCATATTTTGATTAAAATAATTTTCCTGTGCGGAATTTTTTAAGTGCCACATTGACTGTTCCAATAATTCTCGAGACATCAGCGTAATCAACGACATGTCACGCCACTAGTTAGATCAAAAGCTCAGGTCATAACTAAGCAAAACAAGGAAGAAAGTATGCCGCCCTATGTTACTTATGACCAGGGAACCGATTTTTATAACCTAAAAACCTATAAAAAAAGGCCAAATAAAATAACGCAAAAGGCTAGAATAGGCAAAATAAAATAGCAAAATAGGCAGGAAAGGGCACTAAAAACCGACAAAAACTGGAAAATAATTAAAAAATACATTTATTTTGGATATGTTTATTTTACAAGTAAAAGTGAAAAACTATGAACTAGTTTCATTGTATGAAACTTTAGCCGTCATCGATTCGCCACTTCTCGCTCGCTATGTTTGAGTTCCGGTCGCTTCAAGAAGAATTTTGTATGTGAAAGCAACAACCAAGTTAGCTAGCACGGATAGACGATAGCGAGTTTGGTTGTACCTCATTGAGTTCGTTCGTTTCGCCACTCGTTAACTGTTGGCGAATCGATGACGGCTTATATTTAAATCTTTGGCATTTTTTCTCTTTTCGAGTTTTTACCACAGAATACTTTAATCTCTATAGTTGTAGTAACATTGAACTACAAGATGCATTTTGAAGTTTTCTGGCAGCGTTTTCATTCGATTTTTGCGAAGAAAAACCTTGAATATACTAAACATGAACTCCACGTGGGTTGATACAAGTGGCGCCCAATTTAAATATGCAGCGTTTAAAAATTCCATATTACCAGGAATAAGGCCTTTGCCCTTGCCTTTTACAATTAAAGGTAGAAAACGCAAACAAAGGCAATTTCCATAAAATCCGTTTCCTGCTTATGACAACAAAAAATTCCTTTCTACTTTGGCAAAAAATTAAGCAACTATTTTATGAACTAAGCTACAGCTATCTCTAGAATTCCACTGTGATGTCACTTAGCGGTAACAGCTATTGGCGCCAGTGTCATTGTCGTGAAGTAACCATTGTCAAGACTGCGTGAGGCACAATGACCAACAAAGAAGAAGAAGAAGAAGAAGAGAAAACAAAAAAGAATAAACAGAGAAGTGTCACTTATGAATGGACAAGTGAAGACGTCGCGACGCACGTTGACCAAGCACAGCTGTTTGTGACAGGCATTGCACTAGGAGCACACACACACACACTCACAAATACTTTCATAAAAGTGTCCTTCAGCGCGTTGGGCTGCAAGTGTATAGCAAGGATAACTCAATAGCGATAACAAAAATAAACAAAGAAAGGCGGAAGAAAGGTAAGCGTAATGAAACTCGGATGCAACAGTGCAGACCAGCAGGATACTCAGTTGCGACCATCTGTGTGTGTGTGTCTTATCTTGTTGACCCAAAGGATGTATGTATATATGAATACGTGCGGCTGTCTTCTAATTGACCTGCGTAGCCGCTGTTGCTAGTAGTTGTTAAGGCAATACAAATGGCATACCAGCTACGGCGCCTTAGTGTATGCAATAGCAAACAGGCGAAGCGAAGCGACAGCGACAGTGCGCGTGCACTATTTATATGAGTGTGTAAGTATGTAGCAGCAGACTGTGTATTTTTAAAAAGGTGTTGCCAACCAAGCATACAGCGATTTACCGCCGTGAAGGGCAGATTACAGGTGATGAAGGAAATGCTAAAGAAAACATTGTATGTAAGTGTATTAGTTATAAAGGCTATTTTGCTTCCTTGCGCCTTTATTCGATTTTCACTAACCCTCCTCCCTCGCCTGCCTGTCTACGTGGCATTTTGCTTGTCGCGCACAATTGGCAAATGAATGGACGCAGAACGTTACACTAATTGACACTTTTCATTATATTTTTTTGCTTTTCATTGTAGCGAGCGTGTTGCAATTGCTTTGAAGGCGACAGTGCAAATGTGCAATGAATTGTAATGAGGTTTAAATGAAATATATCAGTGAAAGAGAAAATACTAAAGAATGTTAACCGCGGCTAGTGAGATTGTGGTTCAATTAGTGGCCGCTTTTGAGTTCCGTTTTTAATATGTGCGCTTGAGCGTGGCGGAAATGGGATTTAAGGATATGCGGCGAATTGTAATTGACGGATTTGCACACAGGCGGGATTTTGTTTTTTTTGTTATTTTCTCTAACCTTTTTCAAAGCCATTACACTCGAGGCCTTCAAATTAACTAAATTTCACAAAGGCCAAATGTAAAGTCATACATTTTAGATCTTCTTTTTGAATATTTAACAGAAATTTTAACTCCTTCCCAACTGCCCAACGAACCTTCATTAATTACTTTCTTACCACGAAGAAGCGTTTATACAGCTTCAAACCCATTTTTTATTAATTTCTTTCTATTTTGTGTTTAAGCCTGCGTCAGTGACAGAATGGTGTGGGTCTGATGGATTTATTTTAGTTTTGATTAATGAACAATCGAGGTCAATTTCAGTTCTTTGCTAATTCTAGAACAACACGAGCATGAAATTGGTCTGAGTGTGTAGTGAAATTTTTGTTATCAGTTAAAAATTCGCACGCACAAAAAAAAACATCAAAGACAGTAACAGAGAAATCGAGTCAAAGCTTTCAAACGCCTCTCTAGCGATTTTAATGAACGAGGCATACGAAAAATTTATGCTGAGGTTCAGCATTGGCACTTTGCTATTATCGTAGTAAATTTACTATGTTTAAAAAAAAAAAAATTAATTTGCTAACCTACGACGCTTTATCTTATTTCAACTACGCTTTA